CTCGCCAACACTGCTTTCCCTCCTCTATATTCCGTCGCAATATTTCACAGCACGTGCAAGTTCTCGCAGCTCTTGCTCTTGCTGTCGTTCAAGCACATCTTGTTGAGAATTTCCCTAGCGAGGTTTAGACTCAGAACAGTTTTGCTATTGTGCAGTTTTGACAATAGTTTGCCTTTGCTGCCTTGACGTCGAAGTTTCTTTTCGCGGGACTCTCTTAGGCGGATTTGCTTCAGAACGCCGACCAGAAGCTCGTCCACATTGTGCTTGAGCCCACTAGATGTTTCAATGAATTTGCACTCGCGCGATGTGGCCAACTGCTTCCCGTCTTTAACAAATTGCAGTTTTAAATTAATTAAATTTACACGCAAAATTATATTCGGCCAAATTTAAATTCTTTATGCAAAATTTAAAGAATGGTTATAAATCTAATAATAATAAGAGAATATACATATAATCGGCATACGACTATTTTTAATCATAAATAATTTTAAGTACTCTCTTTTGCGTGTAATTCATATGAGAATTATTTATTGCAAATTAAATTTTTTATCTATTAAATTAAAAATTATATAACACCAAGCAAATAAAGTAAAAGGGCAAGTACATAGAAATAGAGCGAAAACATTGTCTACAAATATTATTCCGTTTTATTCGCTTTTTACCATTTGCCGAAATTGTCCGACTTCTGACGAGGTCGGACTTGTTGCCAACGACGATGACCGTATGTTCCTGAGTGTAATGTTCTTGCCATAGATAATTTAGTATCTCTTCAACCACTTGAAAGCTCGTACGTGAAACGATTGAATAAACCACGATGCAAGCATGTGGCTCATATGTCGACAAAGAGTTTTCGACCTAAAGAATTTTCAAAAAATTTTTATATAGTGACTGACATTAATTGCATAAATTGAGATTAACAGACATTAAACGCTTATATCTATAACTATTATGCGCGCGCGGATGTCTTCTTTTATAAAATTATGAATAACACATTATATTTTTATGATGCTGTCTCTCTTTTATATTTTATGTCATCTAAAAGAGAATTTTTGAAACAAATTAGTTACTAACGACGTCGTGGTAAATTAAAATATTAGTTAGATTATTAATCCATAACATAATATAAAATAATTCGAAATATATATGCGATTATATTCAAAGTGACAAATAGTATTATGAATTTAATAATATATTCATTTTCAGCAGATCCTCGTGGAAAAAAAAAGAAGTTGAAAAAATGCAGAAGATTTTAAAGTTTGACTGAATTTAAACTTTAACCGAACAAAACTCTTTACATGCGAGAAAAGAAACTCGACGTCGGAATGTTCATTTAAAAATATATATATATAAACAATAACCTCTTCGTGAAAAAATATTTTAACGACTGTTTTCGCGACTGTTACGGCAATGATAATAAATTTTGCTTATCAAATTCTGCCTATTTTGTCAGTAAAGCTTTCGAAGCATCTAAAGCTTTCGAATGTTTCAATTATGATTTATATTATTGGTATAATAGCTTTTTTTATATATATTTTGAGTGTTAAAAATTATCTCTTTAAATGCTCTTTCCAATATCACTATTTATAGTATCCGCAGCGCGTTATTTTTTACAAAATAACAAATAGCACAAATACAAGTAATTTAGTGAACTCTGCAACTGCGATATTAAAGTTACAATCCTTGTCGATTTACGGCTTGGTACATGAAATTCGCATTAACGCACGCTGAGTGAACTTAGATAGGTAGGTAACTCGACAAATCCCAAGAATAGTTCAGATTAAGGGAGTCGATTTAACATGAATGTCGTAGTACTATTCAGAAGGAATTTTGTTCAAAACTCAATTCTATGAAAGCAAACTTTTAGAGAAAGTTAATTCCGTTTGTTACGAAGTAATATAAATTATTGATGCACATTTAAATTTAGTTTTAAGAAATTACAATTGCTGACATGCCATTTTGACGTAAAGAAAGAAATAAGGTAATCAACAAAAATACATTATTTTTTTTTTAAAAAGTTTGATATTAAATCACGTTTAAAAAAAAAAGATTTTTTAATATCAAAAGTTATATAGAGTGCATTCTTTGCAAAAAATTTCTCGCAATTTCTTTTGTATATTCCTCTGAACAATTCAATTCAAGACTGTCACATATTTTATGTTGCCACTCTCTTAATTCCATTCTTTAATCTCTTATTGATCACTTTTAACGAGTTTGCTTTTATCTAGTTTTATAGCAATTACGTAAAATAAATCGTCGTCGCGATAACGTAAGAAATAATTAAGACATTCTACTAAAGACAGGATGAAGAACAATTTTCACCAACGTAATTGCGATAGCTTTGATTAGCTCACTGACGAAGTGCATGATATATAACCAAAGTAAAAAATATTACTTATCTAACCCTAAATTTGACGATTAGAGAAATAATCGTAGAATAGATTATATTATAATGAAAAATATAAACAGAATATAAGATAATAAAATTTAAAACCGAAAATCTTTAAAATAAAAATTAGTTTATTACAGATAAGTAATTTAATAATATATTAATATATTATTTTATGTATAAAATGTAGTAAGATTACGATATAATAGATGAGAAAGAAAGAGAAAGAGGGTGAAAATACAAGTATACTTGATGAGAATAATATATTCTGTACACACACCCTTTCTCTCTCTTTTATCTCTCTCTCTGGTATTATGTTTTTTAATTATAAAATAGCAATTATAAATTGCGCTGCGTTAATACAGAAATCCATCTGTGTCACAAGAATTACGAAATACTCGAGCGCAGCAAAGTAATCACATCTGACAAGAAGAATCTATTGAGCGATATCCTTACAATCATCTGCATGATAAAAACCTCTAAACATCATTACCAGTCTTTTATTTATAAGCGAATTTATGCGTTCCGCACAACACTGCATAACATATTGATTCAATGGAAACATTCTGTGTTACAGGAAATACATAAAATACCTTTTAGCTATCAAAACCGAACGTGGTTTATAATATATTGCCAGTCAATATTGATTCAAGAGCCCGCGATTAATGAGAGTGTAATACTATGTGCAAAATTTTCCTCTATAATCTGTATAGATTTTCCTATAATACTATACAAAATTTTCCTATAAGATATATAGAATTTGCTAGATTTATGCATTAGAATACATAGACAAAGTGTCCCCCTAGTAAGCATCTCAGGCTTTTATATAAGGATGTATTGACTGAAAGTGTACAAAAATTGTATATAATAATTATATATATATATATATATATATATATATATATTATGCGATATAATACTATAACTTTATACGCATAAAAATAATTTAATACTTACGCTCATTTCTACATGCGGATGATCGATAAAGATCATTTCCGATTCCTCGCCATCTAACAAAATGGAAACGGTTTTTTCTCCGAACTCGTCATCTACAACATAAAGGTGATGGTCTGTGCTAAATGTTGTTGAATATTGCATAACTTGTGATCCACGCTATGTAAAAAGAATATATCAAACGTTATAAATTTGCATTCTATTCCATAATTCTCTTTCTCTCTTTCTATGATATATAATATTTATTTTAAAGTATATTATCATAAATATCTATTTAAGAGTATATTATTATTCATTACACACAAATATGTACTTGCTCATTTTGTAATGCAAATACTTGTGAGTTAATATGGTAAGCTAATTTGATATCGCTAATTAGATGCGCTTTACAAGTCAATAATAGTAATTAATATAAAATTCAAATACTGTTTTTATACATTCAATCCAAGTTATTTAATGAATTTTAAATCATTTAATATACACATTATGTTTTATATAATTACTAATAATAATAAACCAATATGTTTACTTCTGATAAATAATCAAAATTTCTTATTGTAATTCAAGATTGTGTGAAATATGTATAAATATGCATTTCACATTCAAGTCATAAGTAAGCTAACTTACAACTATTTCCCGAAAAATCCATCTTATAAAACTGATGAACACATTCAAAGATCTATTACTATTTCTTAATTTACGAAAATTTTAATCTGCTATACATTAATTCCTCATAGAAAATGTTCTGCAAGTTTAATAGTAAAAAAATTTTACGCTATCCATAGAAAATCAATCATTGATTTGAAGTTTATTTTGCGTATTACTCATAATGAGTAATAATACGATGAAAAAAGCCGGCAATTTGAAACCTCGTTAAAATAAATTGCACTGAAACAAATATGAACTATTTTGATCTTTATGCCAATCTTAATTTAAAAGAAACTAAAGTAAAACAATATTCATAAAGAGAGAAAGAGCAAAAACATAAAAGATAAAACATAATAAAATACTATGTAAAAGTTGCCATATAAATACAAATTTACGAGTAGGAATATTTGTGAGATTATTTTTTTCTACTGCAATCTTTTTATTTAAAAAATATAATACTAAATATATTATTATTCAAAATTTACAAACCTAATTATGGCAATCTACAAAAAAATTCCTTTTTGAGACAAATAAAAAGGAATTACTATGAAAAAGAAAGAGAGATTATTCATTATTCGTCAAACTTTGTTCATTTTTCCAATTTGTCATAAGGCTGAAGTAATCTTGAACTCTTGAAGTAAAACTTTGCCATATAAAATAATTACCTAACCAAAAATATTCAAATAACTTACATCATAGAAGACCTAATGGAACTGATTAAAGTTTGAACAAGCGACCAAAAGTTTCAAAGAGAAATGTCAAACTAGTTTAGTATAGTTAATGTGCTACGCAACTCTCAACAATTTGTCGCGCACAAGTTTGAACACCATTAACGATCCCAAATTATGACTTACATTTACGAAAGTATGTTCGTTACTTCCGATCGCGGAAATATAAATACGAAATCAATATACATTAAGTATTTCGAAAAACGCTTACGTCAAAAAATTTAAAATCTATCTACTAATCAGATACGATATATTCTCCTTTATTTCACAGTATCCTCTTTATCTGACAGAGAAAAATGAATTTATCGTTGACTCTCTGTGCTGCTTCTCTCTAAACTTTCATATCCCCAGATAGCGATAAATTGAATTTAGTTATGACAGAATATATGGAGTATTTTGAATATAGAATACAGGATAAATAAACACACAAGAAAAGAATGTAAACTACATTTGAGAGCTTACAATATTGCAAAAGAGGTTGTACAGATTTATTTTATGTGAAATAGCGAATGCAGAGAATAAATATGTAATAAATATGTATTCTATTAAGTTAACGAGTTATAGAAAAATATGATATTACTTGATATTTTTTGTTCAATTATAAATTTAATAACTGATTATTCTTTTTCTCACCTTTTAATATAATTTGGAGAAAATCTTTTTGGGAAAAATGTCCTTAAATGTAAATGTAATTAAAAAGAGATTAATCTGTTTTTTAATAGCAAAGATATTTAATATTTTAAAATAAGTTATATAAAGAAAACGATTTTATGTATAATTTTCATTAAGACTTCTCTTCAAACACAAATCCAATAGAAACAGAATTCTTGTAGACCACTTTATCTGTATTAAGTAAGAAAGAGAAGTCTTGCAAATTAATTAAACATAAAAACATTACATTAAAATAATAGTCTAAAGACAGCAGTATAATAAGAAACCACGAATCTGTAAAACATGGTTAAAATTAAATTCCGAGTCTTTTTTTTTTACTTTAAACAAATAGACGCATAAATACATAAATATAAATTTATTTACAGGCAGATCAACAATGACTCATATAATGTGAAGCTCTTGAATAACCAGGCTCGATATGATAGAAAGTTGCATGCAAAAGAGATGCATCCTCATGAACTCTCGGTACTGCGTAAAGCACGTTCTTACACGTGACGTTTATGCACGTGTGCGACCGTTCGCGATTACATAAAGGGATGAATATACGAAGCACAGTATTGCGTTTGTGTGCAAAAGCCCGGTTCGTATACTGAAAATTATTACAGCGGGTGCTGCTACATGCTGTGACCGGAATTGCGTGAGGATGCGGAATTGGCCTCTTCATGCAATATGCCTGTCGAGTTTCAAAGCCGCGCGATCCAACGTGGATGCAAAGCGAGTAAAGTGAATTTTTCTTTCCGCGTTATTATTAACTACCTTTGCTTTTCAGAGAAGTGGGCGTAGCGTGTCTGCACCGTGCGCGATCCGAGAGATTGGTTGCCATATGTCTTTAAGGACGTTAGTTTTAATTAAAAGTTAATTAATTATATCAGAAAAGGTTAATTAAATAGTAAAAGCCCCATTTGATCGATTCTATTATCGCTCAACGAGTCTGCGCTTAAACAAAGTATAAAAATACGAATCAGCGAATGGACATCGAGAGGACAAAATTTTTATCAAATGACATTATTATCAGCAAAAAAGAAATTTTTCAATATATGTGTATCTCTGTAGAAATGTATAGAGTGTTTCAAATTTCTTGCTTTGTTTTTCTCGGTAAATAATAAAAGATTAGAAAAAGAGAGAGAATTTAAAAACACTGATAAACAATTACGTTCATTGAAAAGAGAAAGAACTGTTGGAAATTATTGCAATGCGTAACCATCCTTTTGAGACACACTTTATGTGGAATTACGTCAATTGTCGTGATGCAAAATCCTATATCAAAGATGCAGGTAATCAATCCTTTTAATGGAAAATCTTGAGTTTCTACGTGTCTTGTTGAAGGGTGTCACGGCATTGTTCTACGTGCGAGGGTGCACAGACTTACCTAGACTGGCATCGTACGTGTTTATGTATTCGCTTGTCATGAATTGCGAGACCAAAGCCGTCTTTCCCACACCGGAGTCTCCCAGCAAGATTACCCTATACTTTGAAATAGTTTCCTCAATATCGCTATCGGTGCTAGCGTCTTGCCCACTGCAACAAGAGCCTTCAAATGGTGATCTCTCCCCCGAAACATTGCTGTTTCTAGAAGCAAAAGAAAAAAGATATTAAGTATCGCGATGATCATAATGAAATATTTGAAATATTAATACAGACAAGTGTTATTAATAGCAAAATTATCGAAACGGCAAAGAAAATTATTTTTCTAATTAATATCTATTTGTTTGTAAAAAAGAATACATAAATTTATTTGTATTCTCGTAAATCGTAAATGTTCTTATAAATGACATTTCACAATTATATTAATCTTATCAGGTAGAGCTCTTTTTATGTATGAAACAATCATTTTGAGAATATAGAGAATATAAAGCCTTTCTCATGGCAAATCTTCATATCTCTCTACATGTTTTACTTATTACATTATTTAGATCCATACAATATTATTTTGCTCTTGCTTTTATCTGTATCATGTCGAGAATACGTAAAACATATATTCTCGTTTTTCTCTGTCTTCCACATCCCTGTTTTCCACATCCCTATCTTCCACATTTCTGTCTTTCACATCCTTGCCTTCCATTTAAATCTTATGAAAATTTGTCGACGAGAAATCTTTGTTAATATATAATATGATCATGTGTATTCTTTTCAACACACATAGATATATCATAAAAATGATAATTAAATTTCCGTCAAATTTTTCATTTAAATAATTAGTCGTCGCAATATTCTCTTTGATCTTTTCAGAATAATATATACGCTGCTTCGTGCATTCTCTAATACCTACATATGTTTATTAATGTTTGAAAGCATATACAGCTAATGCAAAATGCGTTTATTATAAATAAATTGTATCCATCGAAAAAATATTATAATTTTGAATTGCAAAGAAAGAAGTTTCTTCCTCGGAAATTTTTGCAGAGCTACCGTCTAATCCTTTACATTAATCTTCCACAAGTAAAATACTTTGACAGAGCTGTCATGTTCAGAGCTGTTTTTAACATTAATTTTCTTTAGAAGTCTTTTAAATACTTTAAAATCCCACGATTATATTCCTTTATTAGATAATATTATGTACGGTCGACCGAGCATCGATTTGATCGCACAACAAATACTGTTGCAATAAACTACCATATATAAGCATTTATGTACATAGGTTGTATGTAACGTCCTTGTTTGAACAATACCACAACTTTGAGCTAGCCACCGGCTTTGGTACCGGCTCGGCTATAATAATTATCGCATTTCACCCGTCCGCCAGTGTACAATATCAATCCGATGGATTTCGGCGTTTCCTAATGGCCGATAAGCCGAGCCAGCTTAACTTTGATAAGTTCACAGATTACAAATGTCAATACTCGCATCATACTCGCGCACAAATGATATACGGTTATTTTCAAATCAGATCAAAATTTTAACAAGAAAATTTAATTGTGCGTACTATCAGTGCGATATATTTTATAAATATGTATCGGTTATCAATCGTGAAATCGTGAAGCATTTTATATGATTAATATTATTAACTTTTATTTTACGTGATAAACTAAAAAGAGGGAAAAATTGTACAAAAGAGTGGTTCAGTGGTTCAGTTTATCGTTAAATCACTTGCTTATTAAAATTACGGCATATACTCAAGAATATACACAAGAGCCATCATTATGTTTAAAATCAGACAATAGTACGTAAATAAAACGGGATTGATGTTATATTAGAGTTTCCACATAGGATTATTCTCGACAATATGCTTGTCTGCAATAAAAATACAGAAATAGAATTAAAGACATCTGTTATCGATAGAAAGGATCTTGTCGATAGTATCTTAAAATGGTTCTTCATTAAATCGCTCATTTAAAATAGAAATATACATATCGGTCACATTTATCATTTCTATATATACGCAATAGAAAATATAAAGAGATTTATTAAAATATTTTAATCTAATAAAACGTTTTAACGTTTTAAATCTAATAAACTTGCACAAAAATATAGTTATATAATAGAATATATATCAAATTAAACATATATTTTTCAAAATATATCAGTATCTGCTAATACTTGTTTATTTAACCGTCATTTGAATAATGCTCGATGTATGAAACTATATTAAAATTACATCTTGTTTCATTACATAGATATTTACTATAATTTACTTTTGCAATTACATATTAAGCTTGTGCACAAAACGTTGCAAAAATAATATAGTTAATTCAATTACTAAAATTATTCCGCATACGACAACAAATTTTATCTTCTCTTTAACAAAACACATATTAAAGTACTGATATCTCGAATGTAATCAATACAATAAAAATATGAAAGTACTTTCTAAGAATTTACCGTTCGAAGCGGAAGATATTATACTTAATTTTCAGATATAAGGTCAAGACTACAAATCTCGATGAATTTGCGCTATATTTCTGAGAACATTTTCCGCCTTATTTTCTACCCATGGCATATTTTCTGCCCACGGCAATATCCAATTACGCGATTTACACGTAGACAGATCGAAAGATATCCACATTTCTCCAGAAGCTAACAAGGCTATGTCTCTTCTCTTCATCACCGCTGTAATTCCGAGCAGATAAATATGATATAATATCTCAAGTCGTTTGCTTTACATGATTTTCTTTAGTATTTCCCCCGAAGGATCAGCTAATGTACTATTTTCGAAAAAAAAGCGCATATTTTTACAAAATAATATACATGTCATAAATATTGAAAAGTTGAAACTAAAATAATATAAACTTAGAAATAATTTTGAAATTGTCTTTTATTCTAATTTTTTATTTTTCATATTTCTTGCATTATTAATTTTTTTCATAGATATAATAAAATGCTATTTTTTGTATATGAATGAGTTTGCAGAAAAGATTTTTATGAAAATAATTAATTTTAATAATAAAAAGAATAGTGTTAAACAGAAAACTTGACAAAGCATAAAAACAAACATTTTCCTAACGACTCTACATCAATGCATCTTCCACCATCCTCCCAATATTTCTTTTCAAAATTCTATCTCGAGGCAACAGCAAATTATTCGCACAAACATAATATAACTCATCGTAAATTAATATTAAATTATTAATGTTACAATGCCGGAATTAGAATAAAGCTTTGTATCGCGATGCAATGATTTTAAAATAGTTTTATATTCTTAATAGTTTTATATTCTTCTCTTTCAATTTGCTATTTTGTTGGAAATAATCTATTTGGATTAAAAAGAAGAATGTGGAATCGCATAACTTAAAAGAATTAAAGGGAATTTCGCAGATTTGATAACAAAATGTAATATATTTCAATAATCTGCAAATGTATGTTAAATCAAAATCCAATATTGCTTCCGAGCACAAAAACGATGTTTTTCCCAACAACTTCACATCAATGCACCCCTATCGTAACATTAATAAAATGATCCAACTGCAGAAAAACTCTTCAAAATATCTAAATGGCGTGAGGGGTAATGGTGCGAAACTGCTCGACAAAATCCTTGATCAAGCCTCGCAAGTAACGCGTCGACCCGATCGTTTGCCTCAGCTGTGACATTAATTTTTCCCACAATTAAATTTTAAGATCACCAAATACATTAAACATTCCCGAGTTTCTCGCCATAAACGCAGTAAATGAGTCGTCAAGAAAAACCAAATTTCTGTTCCGGAAATATTTTTTTATTACTCTGTCACTGTAATTATCAAATCTGTATATGAGAAAAACTGTTATAAAATATTATAAAATATCAATGTCAATATCGTGATAATATTTTAATACTATTTTATTAATTATCTATTATTTAATAAATATAATATTACAACATATTTTTTTCGAACGCGAATATAAAGAAATAAAAGCGCGTATGATTGATAATACGAATTACACGATTGCCTGAACATCTATTATTAATCCCGCTACACAATCAGAAGTAACGATTTCATCACGCATCGTAAAATAAAATCTCCCTCTGAATTTTTCACATGTTTCACATGTTTCATTTCGGTGAATTCGTTTCGCCATATATGCGTAACATAGTTACAATAACGATTGTCTCTTCGACTCCAATGCCAAACAAAAGAATTCGTTTTTCTGTTAGCAAAGTCACTAAATAAAAATATCGGATTTATTGAATATAGCGTTAAAAGTCCTGAAATCTACCGATCGATTTTGAAATCCATTAAATGTAGCCATTACGCCATTGAAGCCTCGTTCGTAAAGTAAGTTAATGTGAATTTTTTACTCACCCTGAGATTTTTATCGAGTATTTTAATTGATATAGACACAATCCCTACTTATATTAAAATAATATTTGCGTAATATAATAAAAACATCAGAGCTTCAAAAAAATTTAACCAAGCTATTAACGATTTTTGCAAGCAAATTCTAAAGTTCAACAATAAATTCTAAAGTTCAGCAGTAAATTTCGTTAATTTTAAAATAAGTGGTTTTTATAGAAATTATATTAATCATAAATTGCGCGTGTATTACTTTAAAGAAATTATTCGGGCAGTAATTTATAATTAATGGCCCGATACTGTAACTAAAGAGATATGCGACATAGTTAAATTCCACCGTATTTCCTCGCTAAGCTCGCTGATCCGTAACCGCTGTGCGATCCAAAAAGGCTATTACTATAGAACCCCCTCGGCTGGATGGGTTATACGATCGCCAATGTCCGTGACCCGAAAAGGTCGCGCGGTTGATCTATGGTTCGTGAAAGTAACGAGTCCAGAGCGATCTATGTTCCACGTCAAAAAGCAAGCGTGAGTTGAGCTTTTACAAATGATTTGTGCCGAAAATGTTGCACAAAATAAAAACTGCACTTTTTTTGTGAGAAAGTAAAATATAACAGAAAAAAATCGTTTAAAATGTCGAACAGTAGAAATTTTTTTATTGAACAATTTTTAAGCTCTTTTAGCTAATGAAAAATGTATGACTTAATAAATAACAAACTTAAAAAATTTTAGTCTCACGAATGTTTGCCATCGTTAGGTATATATCACATATTGAACATAAATAACGTATATTTCCGAGAAAGAATATGTAATTCGAGATGCAAATATTAAAAAATATTGTTTTATAATTTCATTTTCCCGTTAGTTAAAAAAGAAGCGTACCTTTGAGAATTTCCATCATAAAGCCGAAATGTTTGCCACACTCGGATTACAAATTGATTGCACGTGTCGGATTAACTTTTTTGATACGTTATCCTTAATACGAAATAACGTGAAGAATTGTTCATTGTTGCTTTGTGTAATATTATCAATTTTCACTCACATACTTAAAGTAGAGAAATGTATAATAATAAAGAAAAATCTTCTAAAAAAAATTGTATGTTATTAATGCAAAATAATTAATATGACGTTACGTAAAGAATCTTCATCATTCCTTTAAAGCAACTCTATTATCGAGAGTTAATTTCGCTTCCAAAAAACGAGTATGACTTTTAGAGGTTGCCGGAGATGGCAGATTAATTATGGTTCCAATTAAAAGACCGTTCTCGTTGCACTACATACACTCTGATCCATAGCTCACTAAGGGTTTTCTGGTCGGATGTAAATACGTATTTCAGCCAAGAACAATACGTAGCAGTTATGCTTGGCACATGTGGAAACATATCCGTGCATATGTGTGCTTGGGTATGTCAAAATGGAGGGTAAGAAAAAGAGAGAGGCAGAAAGACAGCAAAGTAAAAGGAGAAAACAAACGCAAATATTTGCCTCGTCTATTTGGAGAGACGTGGAAACGCATCCGCAAGAACGGAAAATCTGCGCAATATATTAAGCTTGAAGATAAAACAGCTGTCGCTCAAAAAATTTCTTTCATTTTATCGTTGCTTGGAAGACAGAAAAATCCTATTTGCGATGACAGATCATATTTATATGTATAATCCCGTATCTTATATCCTGAAAGATTAAATTTTACAGAATATATTTTCTATGACAAATAATTTATTGAATACTAAGTTTTCAAATTCTCAACTTCGATTCTCGAAGTTGCAGGTTTTCTTTGCAGCTTTAATTATTCAAAGAAAGATCATCTTATATTCTAAATTATGTAAAATTTTTAGAAGGTTTTTCTGGAGATAAATCTTTAATATCATACATTTTTTCTTATCAAAAAACATATATAAAATGTAAGTTGCAAAAGTATTTGTTAAGAAATATATAAATAAATTATTTTCTGCTTCTAAATTAAGAAATATTTTTGATATATGTTTATAATTTTATTATCATAAGATTGAGGTCAAATTATAATTTCACGCTGAATACTGATTTTTGTTTTATTCAACGAAATCGTGAGAGAAAGAAGCCTGTTAAATAATTAAATGTAAAATATAAAAACATATATTGTGACGTCCGCAGAAAAAAAGAGGGTTGATGGACGATTCCAACACAAGAGAGAAATCAATAATAAATGATTGGACAGTGAAATAGTTTTTCGTGGAGGCGACTACAATAAAAATACCTTTTAACGCTTTTTGAGTTAAAAATATTTCTCTTTCAGCTTACATCTCACCCGTACAACGAAAAATCCGGTCGGTAATAAAACTGAGCTTACAACGAGCACCGGCAAAGTCGTAACTATTTTGAGAGACGCGCTAACGAGATGTTACTCGCTTACTTCGTGAAGCTGGTGATGCTCGCATACCAGAGGTTGGATACAAGACAAAGTGAACGTGACTACATTACATATGTAATTTTTTCGCGCCCCGAAAAAGTTATGAATAAAATTGTTAATTGTATGTGTGTCCATGTGTGTGTGTGTGCATTTCTCTTTAAAAATATTATTCATTTTTAGATACACATAAAGGGTAACATTGCAAAAGCTGTTAATATTAACCAAATTTACCGTTAAATCTAAGATTACTGTAAATTCATCAGATCATAATTGTAATAATAAATTCTTCAAACAATTTAACAGCGGTATATCGTTAGAAAAAATTTTGAGATTTTACTACCGCTTACCGTTTATATGTATATGTTATATTTCTTTACAACAATTTATACAGCAATCTTATAACATTAATTTAATTATGACATAATTCACCAATTCTTATGACATAAATAAATTTGCAACCTTCAGTACCAAGATAGCATTGCTACGGCGTGGTAAGCCGAGCAGTTTATCTCACGGTTAGTGTCACCTGTAAATTCCGCCAAGAGAAAATTCACAATTAGACGCTCGCACGTCGAAATAATGACTTGAGTAATTATTATATTTTTCAACGTTGGCCAACTATAGCCGGCGTCAAAACTCATCGTCTGCGTAACGTTATTTTGGACGAAATCCATGACAACGTCAAATTCTCTTAAGTTAGAAATTCTCTCTGTTCTCTTAGAATGCTAATATCTGAATCATCGATGACGATCACTATGCGAGATTCTGTCGAGAGAATTGGCAAGAAACAGCACTGTGAGTCATTCTTTCCCGGACAAGAAGAACGATCAAATCAATGATCACTTGAGTCTTAAATGGACGATGACTGCAGTTTTGAGAAGCCGTCTCAGAACCAGAGAATTCACTAATATTTTTATAATTTACTACAAACAAAGAGAAGACACAATGTAAGACCGCGTTAAAATGCGATAAATATTTATTCAATGTTTTCGAAGCGAGAAAATGCAAGTGCGATTCATTTGCGACTATTGATCCATCAGTGACGTTTCTTAACTAGCGCCAAGAAAACACAATATAAATAATTACTCAATTTGAGAAATGAAATGCATATTTTGCATAAACGACGTGCGCATACCGAATGACTCAATTACCTTCAAACGAACTATTCTCTACAAGAATATTAAAAATTAATCTATTCCTTTTCAACAAACCAAACCTATCATGAAATGAAAAAAAACTCGCAAAATATGATTTTTAATTTTTCACAATGCCATTCTTCTTTTCATGCATTAAAAAAAACTTTCCTGTTAGAATTTTTTTATTAAAAAAATTATCTTTATCTCGAAACCATACATAATTTTCCGGGAAAAATTCCCGTCGCGTTGCACGACAGTTGCATGTCGTTAAATTTTAAGCGCATCATCATCGTGCAAAGAGAATATCTCAGGCACTCGGGATAGATCTGCAAACTTTCCGAGCGCAGTTTAATTCTCGCGGATTTGCCATAGTAATGGCCGTTTAACGCGTTGCTTTCCATTCTGTCGACCGACGACGTAACTTTTCGCCATTATTCAATGCAAAAGCGTGCTTATCCGCGAGCTTTCGTCTCTCGCAAAGCGTAACAACGTCGCTGCATGTGCGCTTGTTTACCGAAGTGATTTTCGCGACACGTGTACGTTGTATACACAATATATTTACATCTACTGTGACTGTACGTTGCATTTTAAACCTTCTCTATTATTAAAAAAAAAGAAGGTAAAAATTTTAGTCTTGTTATTAAGATTTAGTCCTATTATCAAATCTATTATTAGACAGATTAATACGTCAAAGAAAAAATCATAATTAGTGATTAGTTACAAAATTAGTTAAAAAATCTCAATTTTTTCATAATAATCTCACAGTATCACAGTTGAAGTGTAATTTCTTGAGATAATGAATTATGTACTTTATTTAGAAATCTTAAAGAGAAAAATACATGATTATTTGCTTGTTATTCTACTCTGAAACTGACCCTAATTTTATTGAGATTGCCTACATGTTGGCTTTTTATAAAAGTCCAAGCAATTTCTTTTGTGAAATTCTTATTATGGGAGACGCGTAACTTTTCCATGATTTTCATTTATTTCTTGGTAGGTTCTGCACGAAATAATCAAATGTCCTCCTCACGATATTTCTATAATACAACGGCGACTGCTTGCAGCAGGACGGGGCTGTATTGACGATTTTGCGAGGGAGAACATCCTGGGCCGTACAAAAATAGACTATGCTTTGTTGGCTTCAAATTGTAATATTAAATCGTCGAATTTAGAAATCCAAAGCTTTTGATATCTTCTGACGACAGTATCGCATAAATAAAACATTGTTGTGATATGTTATTGTCTGTTTTTTTTTCTTTTTTTCTTTTTTGCATCGTATGAAACATCATCCGTGCTATCATGACACGCTATCTCTCCTCGTAAAAATTACAAGCATCGTGCTATTTTCAAGCTTTACAGAAAAGTAAATCCATTTATTTAATAAAATATTTTACATAAAATAATTTCAATAATTTTATACAATATTATATATAAATATACATATGTAGAAATTTTCTAGAGTTACGAGTTACTATCTCCAAATTATGAAATTTATGAAATTTATTATTTACCATACATTATATAAAATTTATTTCCACTAAAAGTCCATTTGTAATGTTTTCCCGGAAAACCTTTCATTTATTCATTTTATTCGACGGTTGCGTAAATATGAAGATTGCATTAGAGAACCCCGTTTCGAGAAAGAAGTAAAGAATTGCATATTTTACGAGAAGCTCGAATAAACGTAGATTAGAATGAACAATCTAGTGCTAGTGTAAACAAGAAATAAAAGAATAAATGAAGCTGCGTGTACGTTAGCATGAATTACATTTCGAAAGATTGTAGATCGGTCAAAAGGGAAACAACTATCTCGTATTTTTTCTAGTAACAATTAAGTAATGTACATTTATATTTTATATGTTAAAATATTGAAAAAAGGAATGCAAAAATTGTATACCTCACATAACAATATAGAAACTATTATAAAATGTATCGATAAAAATTCATGTATACAATTTTACAGTATATACGCAAACAAAGTAATTTTTTTGGCATTAATTATATACATAATATAATGCCAATAAAAAAGAGATTTAGTAAAGATTAAAATTAGATTTTAAGAGTATCCCCCTTTTTTCATTATATTTTCTTATCGTGTACTATCGCTTTAGACGAAATTTATCTTGCCTAATATTATTTCTAAATATCGCCGGGAAAGTAAAAAATTATAAGCGATCATTCGCGGAACGTCATTATAAAATGCACAAGAGCATTGACTCAGCATTGCACCCACATTGCACGCTACCACCGATCGAGATTCCACGAATATTCCACATCGTAGTTTTTCACGTTTCCCCCCGCTTGTTGATCTCTTGCCACGTGATCGTAGACTTCCCCTCTCCGCCATCATGCTACCAGTTTAGAATAACCCGAAGCTCCGACATCCTTACCATTCGTGAATTTAATCTCGGATAGTTCGCGTCATTATTGTATTGTCCTCGTAAGCCCCATTGAAAGCGCCGTAAGTTTCATCATGGAAGTTGCCAAAGGTAGGCTAACAATAAATTGGATTTTACGTTTCAGTTCTATTGAAATTATTACAGCTGCATTTATTAATATTTTATCTGCTTCAGAATTACGTTTTTAATTAAAAATATCTCTTGCGCTTTGCACTTTGCTTTCGAATAGCTTAACTTTCAATAGATTGAAATTAATAACGCTCGAATCGAACAAGTTTTCTATTAGATACGCAGTTTCAAGTTTTTATACAAAAATGAGAAATATCGTAATCTTGAGTGATAACGTGCGTAGTCCTTACGACTTGCAGATGTATATTATAATATATCTATCCATTTTATTTTTGTTCAATTTTTGACAAGTCCACGTGTGTGTTGCATAAAATCTATTGCATTATTAATAATGGTTATGGCTATATATTCTTAATTTATCAATTAACTATAGTCACATTTCTAATGTACGTATATTATCTATTAATTTATTTGTAATCCTTCCATTTCATATACTTATTTATCTACCTTTATATTCTTCTCATGCATTTTTAATATTATTTTAAATACACGATAAATTATATCCTATTTTCATATAATATCAACTGAATCATTCATAAAATCTATTAATTATGTGAATATATTGCAATCTAATAAAAATATAATATATTCAACAAATAAAACTTTGAATCGATCTTTTAAGCGAATCATTCGAGAATCTTTAAAGTACTAAATCCAATCGTATAAAAGTTATGCGGTATTCTTTCAGTGAACGATTCGAGCAGCAGCCTCATCGAGCAATCAATGAATGTAACGGCAGCAACGAAATCCGTCTCGACAGTGAAATCCGTACAGAGCGTCCAGACGAAGTCAATTGTAGAGTCATCGACCTCGGTTAAATCCGTCTCTTCCTCATCCAACAAATCACATCAATCGGTGGAGTACGAGGAATCGGTCGAGTATAGCGATTAGTGTGATTAAAGTAATATAAATCCTTTCAATAAAAAAGACATCACGCGGGGAAAAGCTAGAAACGCGATAATATTCGGTTCGATTTGATTCATCGTGTTTGAAGATTCATCTTCGGACGCTACTTGATTCGATTATGCTATTCCTTCTGCAAGAAAAATATTCACGTCATATCAGAAATGATAAATTACTCGAAATCACATAAGCATCGAAAGAAAATCAACGACGGAATTCCGTAACCTCTTCTCCAATTTCTACCACGAGGATCCACGATCGATAATCGAACGGAAATGGGAGAATCGAATTGACGGGTCAAGGCGTTCACTTGTCAGGGTTGTGCACCGAAATAACGAGTTCGTCGCAGTCTCGCTATGCGACGAGACGACGAGAAGAAATACCACGAGTCAGAGGAGACGAATGGAGAGGAACAAATTGAAAATGTGCCCGCGAAGGAATGCTCGGAAGTCTCTGGCCCTCATCCAATCGATGTGGTTCGCCGCCAAATAGCAACTCAACATTTCCTTCTTTCTTTCGAGTGTTTTTTTTTCCTAATCGACACATCGCTGTCAATCCTTCGAGTAAGAGCGCTTGACATATGTGACTACTCATTTATCTTTGTATAATTAAATTTTTAAGACATTACGTTAGCACGTTTGTTCATTGACCCTTTCTTATTTTAATTACATAGTTTATAATTAATTAATTATTTCTCTCTGTCGTGTAAACTAAAATTATTGCAGAAAGAATCGATCATTTTCTAATTTATCAAGTACATATTCATAAATAAGTTAACATATATATAATTAATACAGATTGACATAAACATGAATTTAGAATTTTCGTATATTTTGAATAAAATCTACGCATATTTAAATGGAGATTAAAAATTAAAAGAAATATTTCCATTTTCGTATTTCTTAGATTTCTAGCTATAATACAAAACTAGTATATATACCAATGAGATGAGGCAATTCTAATTGTAATTTATCATAAGTGCAATAAAGTTTTGTAACATTAGCCAGCACAAAACTAATGCTAAAAAGATTCAAAAAGAAGGTAGCCTTCGAGTAGCTTTTACCACATGCTATTAAAATAAATCGCAATTTTTTCATATCATTTCTTTTCTCTCTCACATTCTCCGTGTCCTTTTGCAATATAATATCAAACGGAGCTGACACGTACGACTACGGCCCGACAGTGACAGAAAGAACTGTGTAGAGGAAAGGAAATATGATTTGAGGAAAGGCGGATATCGAGTACATTAGGTCAAGCGATAAAGAGAAGCTATCGGGCAAGGGTGGCACCCTCTAAGATTAAGTAGCGCTTCCAACGCCCTGCGGGACACGCAATAAACGACGATGAAAGTTTTAGTATCGCGCTAAGTTCAGTATAACGTATGCCTTTAGAATTCACGAGAAGTGACTGTCTCCCGAGGGGAAGCGCATATGGGAAAAAAGGGAGAAGAGATTGGGATCTTGGCGGTAACAGAACGGGGTTTCAATATCCTGTCGCCCAGGTAAATGGAGCAAATATACTCGGGAGGATATGGGAATTCTCGAACGCTTTACCGATTGCGGAACACGGATCGAATGATCCACAGGAAGCATTTGATTCCGCGTCTTATAGCGAGTTAACTTCCGTTTCCCGCGATTGATTTAAAACTCTAAAAATCCCCATAAAAACTTACAGAAAGAGATGCTTCTTTAATCATGCGAAATTTATCGCGGTCAGAGAGTATTATATAGTGAATTAATATTTGATGTGCGAGTAACCGCAATTTTTTCATGAATCTATGATTATATTATTTCACATTTATTCCTTAAAAACAGCTGCTACAAACATTAAATAGTGATAGAATTTTCAAGCAGCCTCTTCATTAAAATTATTAAACTCATTTAATTTATATCTTATAAAACAAAATGCCAGTCAATTACTGCGTGCAAATTTTTAGAACTTATAGCATTAAGAATCATTAAGTTCAATATATATTTTACTTGAATCATTTCTGCCGCGTTTTAATATACTCGATCACAAAAGCGTGACGCTGATTTAACCGAGATGGATCGTTTATAGGAATCCTCGCAAGTCACACACATACATCATCGAGACAACCATCCAATGTCCATTCAGAAATCTTGGATGGAAAGAAATAGATCATATATCGTCAGTGACTCGTTATTTGACGCAGAAGGTTCTCTTTTATGTGACCGAATATTTGGTTGACAGAAACGAAATGACCTTTGCAAAGCAATATTCACTTTAAATTAATGCGAATAGGATCCTTTGGAAAAAAAATCCTCCCAAAGCTTGATATATTTTAGTTAACTTCGTCACATGTTATCTTTTTCGCACTCCAAGAAACCCAGGACTATATACCTAAAGATATATTTGGAAAAAAGTTTCTCTTTTTGAGCGAATATAGCGATTTTCTTTGACGCCTACAATCTTTTAACCAGAACATGATAAACTTTCAGATTTACCATACTGTGAATATAACTTTGAAGGATGATTTCATCCTGAATGTCAAAGGAGCCTCGCTGACATGATATCTATCGCTTATTCCAGAATGAACTCAAACAATCCATCATATTTCATCATAGACAAGATTCTTGTTTAGACAAGTATATAATAGAAGTAAAATATGTCGATAAAAGAAACATTCAACAGAGATAAAATCGATTTTCAAGAAATATTCAACCAGTAAAAGCTTTCATTTGAAAATTTATTCGTCGATTCAAGAACAAACAATAAAAATAAAAGACAAACATTTTCGTTAATTGCAAATAAAAGAACACGAAGAAATTATTGATCTTGTTCATATAAAGACTATTTATCAAAGATTCTTTATCATAGCTTTATTGGCGTGCTAAAATATTGCTCTACAATAAATATCCACGTGCATCTATTTTTGTTTCTTTTTATCGCGGAAATTGAAGGTGGATTATATGTTCCTTTCGGGGATATTTATGCCAGATTACTTATTGAAATTTTATCACAACTATATCATCCTACATTTCATAGTTACGAATTTATAGAAGACTTATGCTTCCAAAAAATAATAATAGCAATATCGACAACAAGACCAACTAAAAATATATAAGATTAAATAACGATCGCGTTTTATACCATAGTTCCAAAAACATATTTCAAATAAAATCAAATAGGAAAAATATATATATATTTTTTTTAATTGTAATTATTAAAATAAAAATAATAAGAAAGTATTTACAATATATATAAAATAAAAAATATATTCTCATAATCTTCACTATCATCTTTTTTAATTGCTTAATTTTATAGAAACATTCAATATACACAGACACACATATAAAGTTGATCTTTAAGTTATAGCAAAAAAGTTAATTCCTCGATCAATTTCTTTCTTAGGAGGCTCACACATCTATATATTTTGGAGAAATATTCATGTTCTTACGAGAATGGATTGCGACCTCTGAGATTTCGAGTTCTCAGGCGACATACTTATCTATATTGTCCAATACCCACTATGCGTGAAAAAATTTTTCCAATTCACTGGAGCGCGTTCCTGACCTCCTCAGTTGCACTTTATTTATGAGAGTTATTTCGTTTCCAATACAATTCACGAACAAAAATAATCTAGTTGCAAAACGTTGAACTCTATCTGCAATTTCTGCGTAACCTCATGAAGTAGTTTACAACTCGCTTCGTTTAATTTCCTAAGTGGGGAGACATTAAAATTTGAGTGTACCGGAGATTTATTACGAGAAACGTTGCTAAGGGTACTCGGGAAATAAGAAGTAAATTGATACGCCCGTTAAAGTGGAGCGATTGAAGTTAAATAAAAAATTAATCGTAGAGATAGCAATCTGCTTATTTAACCCGCCTCTCTTAAGTTTGTTGAAGTTCTTATAACGATGCAGATAATTTATGACAAAAATGGGTATATTAATATTTCATTACAAAACGACTTATAAAATCGATAATAAATTAACAGAAAATTTTTTAGTTATTAATATAATGACTGATATTTTAACGATAAAAATCCCTAATGTAGTTTCAAAAGTAAGATAAAGTTATGATGATTATATAAAATACGCACTCTGAGGCAATTTGTACACTGTTGCTATGGCGTTAAAAGACATGGGAAAACTTCATTGATCCATCGCTTTCTTAAGGCAAAAAAAAGGAATTAGGCCGACCTAACAACTTCTAACAAGTCGTAGTATTAAATCCCCTCAATGTGAACTCGCAAAGAATTTTTTTTACCTTTGTTTCGCTTGTGTGCTTCTTCAAATTAGTAGCATCGAAACAACAAAAAAAGTAAAAAGAAAGAGAGAGAGCGATAATAGAAGAATTTTAAGGGTAAGAAATATTAGCGACAAAATATTTTATAAAGGTGGTATCACGTATTTGAGATTACGGTGTCTTCACTTCGATCCTTTATCGACATACTGTAGAGCTCTTTTCTGTCTCATCACTTTCCTGTCTCATACCTTCCCCTATGTCGATTTCTCTCCTTTTTCCTCGCTCAGAATAGCATGTGAAACGAGTGAGACACTTTGTTTCGTCCAACTCCCAGAATAAATATTGACATGGAGACAAGAGAAGTGGTCGGTTTTTGGTATTAATATTTGATTTTCTTATATCCGAAGGAACATTTATTGTATATACGCGGCGAATTTAAGTATGTGCGTATCTATTTTGCCAAGATTTGTTGCGGATATCATATTGTAAAATACAGAACAAATCAGAAAAAGAATAAAATAATATTATCCTTATAATATGATATAAAGTGTTAAAGCAAATTGCCTAAATTTTCATTATCAAATCAATTTTCTCTAAATCCAACTTATAAGCAAACTGGCTTATTTTACAACAATAATAGTTAGTAAATATACTTAAATATATATGAATAAATTTCATAGTTAAAAATTTAGAAAAAAATCCTCCTTTATAAATTTTCTTGAAACTTCATACGATAAATATGCAGCTAAATATATGTATCATACAATATTTATGTAATACTGCATTTTATGTGAAGAAAAGAGAAAATTGAGATAGTTATTTAATTGAGTCTGACTATCTGAAAGCTTAGAGATATTAAATATTTAAATGGATAAAATGGAAGTGGGATTCTTTTCATAGCTACAATTTATAATTAAGAGCAGTCTCAATATAATAATACTTCTAATAATATTTATCTTAAAATAATATAGCACGTACTTATATATGTCGAGAGTACATGATACATTTCACGCGCTAATGTATTTCCCGGCAATACCTTCCTGCAGCTCACCATAAAGATGCAGTCGTCCATCGCATATTATATTATGTTCGCATATTTTGAGCTACATAAATATCCAATTTATGTGCCACGCAAAACAAACGCATAGATGTGAGCACGGCACAAGCGAGTAAAATAATTTAACATTAATTTATTCCGTTCGCGCATCTCAACATCATAAAGAGTGTCAGTCTAGCAACTCACCTGCTACTATTGACGGAAGTGTTGCTTCTGCTGCGCCTGGAAATGATAGAATCACCCCGATTTACGACACCCTTGTGAGTGATACTGAAAGCTCTGAGTCTGTAGAGGTCATCGCTGGCTCTGGGATTATATGCTTTTTCCGGTAGACTGTGCACACGTGGTCGTATATGATCCGGTACTGTAACATGATAAAATTGAAATTTATTTAGAAAATTTCTTGTAATTGCAAATATCTAGTATAATTAAATCTTCTATATATGAAATCTATTTATGTATACACAAACAAAAGAAAAAAATATGGCTGTAAATATATCTAATAATTACACATGGTATTTTAATACCAGACATTAACAGTATTGATTAATTACATTCACATTTAATAATTACAGCGGCAGATTTTTTTGTGTTGAATTATTTATCTCGAATAATAGAAAGAAAAGAGAGAGAGATATGAATCGTACATATCTATATATTTTATCTAACATTTTTACTTTTAATAATTATTAAAAAATTTCTTTGTCTTTTTGTTTATATCATGTATGAATGTGCGCAAGAGATACGAATTATAATGATAAATGACTTTCGTAATGTGCCTCATGATATTCCGCCAATGTTTAAAAATGATTGCTATGAATAATCAAAAGCATATAACGGTTTATTGCTCGCATGACAAATGTTGCGGCTTTTGATAGAATTACAATCAGCGCTGATTGACCTATAAATCGATACATGTTGACAACTAATCTATGTTGCGCGTAACAAGTTACAGATCTATCCGTTGTAAAATTCGTCATTTAAAATGTATCTTTCCACTCTGTTGCGTGTACCGAGCTTATATCCAATGTAATCCAGTGTAATTACTTAGCTAGCAATCGTCTACGTTACTAGCACTTATATGTAGCGAGAAACACTTTACATGGCATATGACAACGTTTCAACTTTTATACGACGTTATTACGCTGCTAACACGACTAGATAAACGACAATCGATGGTAGCTGAACCAATATCATCGAGTTAAATATTCAATTCCATTACCGAGCGATATCGATTCAACGTCGAATTGTATACTGCACAGTAATAATTTCAATATGCAACTTGAGTACTGACGATATCACATAATTACTAGTCAAACTAAATTTTTATCAGAAAGAATTATCACAATAATCAGCACGTAGTTTTCATTCGTTTAAGTTGCTTCTCACGTTTTTATCTAAAATATTATACACAAGTCGGACGAGAAGTAATAATACGTAAGAGTCAGTATAAACGACAGAAATAATAGAATGAAAAACAGGAAGATAAAAGAGACAGACATACAAATGAGATGTTGTTGCCGAGTTCATTTACTATTTTCTCGAATAACGAAAATGAAGCGGGTCAACGTAGACGACCGCTCGCCATAATTTGTCACCTAAACGTGTTGACGGACTTGGATGAGTAGACGACAGAAAGAATTGCCCCATGATTTCTTTGTCGAATTATCACAACGATATCACAAATCGTACGAATATCATTGTAACAAATGTATTATAAATTTCGTGATATAAACAGTTATATACTATAATAAAATCCTACATCGGAGCTGATCTCGGAAACATAATATTACCAGTCGCATACTAATCGATACCTTCCCCAAACAAACGACGTGCGTAATTAACCGAACACATAATTATCGGTTACAGTTTTTAGACGCGACAAATACATATGAAAGTTTTCGGAGACAGATCATTAGCGAAATTGTATTAAATTATACAAAATAACTGACGAGATCGTTGTGAAATATAGATTTAATTGCGATGTAAACAAAAAATGATATACAATTGCTGTATAACATTAGAATATAGTCAAATATAAATTTATACCATGTGTTTTACAATCTATTAACGTAATACCGCAATCAACAAAAATTGAGATATAACATAAAATAATAATTTTAAATTATATCTTTTTACAACTTTTAACATACCGTTCTAAATATCTTTATAAATTCCTTCCAAATTAGAATTCTATTAAAATGAAATTGGTCACTCAATTCAATGTTATGCAAAGCCTAAAAATCCTCCTCTATCGCATCTCTTGCTAAAATTTAATTCACAAAACTCTTTAAATTTTTATTAAAAATATTTATTATTTATTTATTATAATTTTAAAAGCTGCACTTGTATTTAAATAAGATATTACTTTCTCCAACACAAATCGGGCTTCGATATACAATTTGATATCGATTAAAAAATATCTCAATCGAGAATGAATTAATCAAGACGCATTTTTCAGGATTCATGTTCTCATTGTGTTATCAAGACCGACCGCTGAGACGAGTAAGGAGAAGGATCGATCAACCATTTAATCAGCAAATCTAATTATACCGCCGCATTTATAACCGAACTCAGCAGACTCGTTTCCGATTTGCGAGGCTTTTCGAATGAATGACATTGCGAGCTGGAAAAACTGACCTGACGCGAGTAATGTCGGTCATTAGTGGTTCTTAACCGAATGATTTACAGGATCGTTTGTTATCCTTACAACCGCGCAAGTTATCTGTCGTGTACTTCCTACCTTATGCATTCTCATTTATGCTTTTTCCATGCGATATGTGGAAGTGACACGAACAAAGCGATTAATAAAAGCAACTAGATTATTCTGTCTAAAGAAAGCCGAAGCTGCGATATTTAAATTTGCTTGTGCTTTTACTACGATAATTTCTTGTATAGATTTACTGCGTGCTATTGGCATCGTGTCAAAACATATATCTCTCATCGTTTTAGTTGAGAAAATATTATTTATATCGCTGATTCTCAGTAGTTATTTTACACAAAACTTGCATCTGTTTTCTTAACGTTTTGCACTAAAATTATTACGATTAAACTAAACGGCATAATAAAATATGCATATGCTTTTTTCTTTTTTAAATTAAATATTCTTTTTATTATCTAAAAAATTAATTATGTTTAATCTTAAAGTTATTTTCACAGGTTAATTTGAAAAAAACTGATGCATTGTAATCATTGAAATTATTCTACAGATATTTTTGTTTTACCGCACTTTTCAAGTTTCTAATAGTATCGTACTCGTGAAATTGAATATTTGGTATTTTTGCACTTTTCGACATCTTGTTCTAAAAATCTAATCTAAAAAATCAACCAATATAAAAAAATTTATCTCACATTATTTTAAATTATACAATAAAACAAACAATATATCATATATATCGTCATATAAATCAAACTTTTTCGATCAATCTTGTGTTATAATTGTATAATTATATTATTTCCACATGTATTTTTCTGTAGATTATCCTCGGTAACTTTAATTAAAAATACGTATCTTTTTTTGCCTATGTGTATTAGATCATTTCAATCTTTAATATAGTTACACTCAATTGGACACTCGAGAAGTTCAAAGCACATGATCCGTGACAAGTAGTTCGCGGTTACATGCGTAAATGTAAGTTAATTATATAATTAATAAAATTAATTACATATTACGTATGTCAATATATCTTGTGTTATCAAGTTTTGAAAATGCATTATTACCAATTACAAAATTACATAAAACATAAATAAAACTTAAAATGCGGATACATATTTTAGCTTAACATATTTAATTTCTGCAACGTTAAATTCCGATAATCGATAATTCCTAATCCTCTTTAAAAGTTGCAAATAAATGATAAAAAGTCAACAGCCATTTACTAATTTATCACATTTTTCCGCGCATATTTTTTCGCACTCTGAACAATATTGAATTGGTAAGGAATTTACATTCCAATGTGCATAAAAAATTTAGTAACCCACGATTATATAAGATGATCAAAGCACTATATCTCCGTTGCCGAAATTCTGTTTTACTGGAATCCTATCTTGAGAAAGGAGAGGGTTCTTAGAAATCGGTGAATAATAAAACAGACTTCGTCGAGAAGGCAAGGAATTAAGCGACGGAGGGTAGAAAGCATCCTACCAAAGATTCTTGTGAAGAAACGACAAATCTTCTTTAGATATTTTATTTTGTTATGCCGCGTACCGTTGTTAAGAGAATTTCACGAAGGGCGAAAAAATGCTGTCTACCCAAAGAATGCGTGGGCCTCTGATTTCTGAAAGTTTCATGCAAAACTCGAAATTCTAAAACTTTAAATTTCCAATAAACTCCCTCGGAAAAAAATATAATATATTTTCTTAAATAATATATTCTCTTAATTATAAGATTTCTACACTGAGAAAAAAAAATTATTAACTTGACTAAAACCGTTCAACTAATTACCATTTTTTTTATTGAAATATTTATATATTTGAGTCAAATATACGTCATATTAGATTTAATATGTCTTATTTGACTTAAATATATAAATATTTCAATTTAAAAAATGGTAATTAGTTGAACGGATTTAGTCAAATTAACAATTTCTTTTTTTTTCAGTGTACATACGCTTGATAATCCAATCTTTGAACATATATATCTTTGGGATTTGAAATTCTCTAATTTTACAACAACAAGTTTCTTTTTAAAAAGATCCGCAGTCTCCTAAAATTTTTATATAAATCATCATTTTTTAATTTAGCATATTAAGCCTTTCTTTTATTAAATATAGAAATTATCTTATTGTAAATATCATAATAATATCTTGAGATAAACGCACTGAAAAAGTCAATGATGATTAATCTTAATCATTAATTTTCTTTATTCCACGTTGCGACTTACAGTCACAAATTACATGGCGGCAAAGAGTATCATGCTGTTTGCACGAAGTATTTGCGAAGACGATGGGCGAGTAATTAATTTCCGACGCGTTAGTGTAGCTACTTCGAATACCTACATAATCCGACAATTTCATGCGGTTTCCAAGTTACACCAGAATCCGTGAATAGCTTTTGGTCAGACAGAATCGTTTGCTCAAATAACTGCCGGCTATGTATACAAAGCCCGGAATAAAAAACTCGGTAAATTAAATTGCTTTCGATTTAAAAGACTTTAAGTAAACGCCAAGTTTTCGAACTAATGAGCGCACTAATGATTTATATTTAATTGAAAGAGATATAAGAAATGCTTAATATACTGGTAGCTATTATAATGTAAAATTAAAACAACTATTATTTAATAAAACAATTAACCATGTACAACCGAACAAGATTACGTTAGGACAATTCAGGCGTGTATTCTCAAGATGTCACAATCTACGGAATTGCCCTACAATGAGATTCAACCGAGCGATATTAATTTCGTACTTCGCGCACGTATATTATTAAACTCAATATTACAGTTTTCAACTTCAAGTGCGGTGAACGATTAATTAATGTATCGCAGACGGCGCGAGTGCAATAGCGATGCAACTTTTGCGTTCCTGTGGAGAAAATGAAGAACTTTGGGCTTTCAGATTATACTCACCTTCCCCCCGTTTCTAGAAATGCAAATGCACAACGGTGCGGTTTTCGTCGTTCTCGCCCACGAGAGAAAACCTGACATTTGCGTAAATGAATCTGCTCGAGAGTAGTTAGAAAATAGGCCACGTTTAAAAACTAATTTCGCAACAGTTACGCGCGCAAGAGACATTCGCAATCCCTTTATATCAACTCATTATGCCGTAAATTTAACGCGCGTGATAAGCACATTTCACGTGCCAGAACTCTCACGTGCACGTCTGTGTATATTAATATCTAATTTCTTTATTTAGTCATTGTTGGACAATTTGATGCGGCTATGTTTATATTTATGGCAAAAAAACCTTTTTAAAAACTTTTTTAGCCTTTTACCGTCTTCATTACGCGAAGAAAAGATTACCACATCTCAACGATATTAAAACTGCTTTTACATTTATATAATATGAAAGCAGGGAACAATAATAAAGCGACGGATAGCGCAAACGAGAATAAATACCGTATTAATTTCCTATATTAAGTTATACTTAATACCGCTTTGCCATAATCAAAAGATGATATAGGAGAATAGAGCTAGTGTATCACAAGGTAATAGTCTACTCTCTTTCTGTTTTTTCTTGAACTCGCATAATAAAAATTTAAATATGTGAAAACAAAAAGTAAAACTTCAAAAGAATAAATGCATCGTGCATTTAAAAAAAAATTGAGATCAGTGTAGCACAATATTAAAAATTCGACGTTGAATAAAATTCATTTCCGCACAAAGTCCAATAAATTGCACGATATTTTTGCAAAATGTACATAATAATATTGTATAGAATGTGCTCACTCTTGAATATTGACAGTGAATTTATCAGCAATCATTGAAAAGTAGTGGACTGTCATCGATACATCGGGCTATTCATTTGGAAATAAACGACTTCTATCAAGCTTTATTCACAATACAGCTTATCAAGAGCTATAATGATTTTATTGTTAATAATCGCAACAGCTATCATATTTAAATAAACGACTGATTGAGGATTCAATTAAAATCTAATTATTAAAATAAGCCTAGTTTTTACGACAGAAAAAATTTAAATAAAAATGCCTATGAGCACACGAGAAATAAAGAGTTATCTGAATACTAAATATACTATAACAAATTAATTTGTTCTTGTCAAGAGTATTGCTATAATATTTGATAATCATACTCGTGTAGTTACATTTTATTTATACGCTTGTCACGATCATCTGTAAATATACTAACAGTAATGTCGCTGGTCAACGTGCCATAAATTATCAGTCATGATTGATGCCGCAGATTATGCTACATATTTGGTTTTCAAATATGAAAGCTATTATTGGTCTCATATTGAAATCAGTCGCTTTAGGGTCGCTTTAGAAAGGCTGAATTAGAACTCACATATATGTATACTGAGATTTCTCTACAAAAATTTTAAATATTTGTTATA